GGAAGGAAGGAAGGAAAGGGGAGGGAAGGGAGGCAGGGAGGGAGGGAGATGGATGGCTTGGTAGAAGGCTGAAGCCAGAACCACCCCCCAAATCCAGCCCCACTGCAGTACCTGCAGGACTGGTCCTGGATGGGACTCTCTGCTGGTCAGATAAGAAGTCTCCCAGGGCAGAGGGCCGAGTAGGAAAGCAGCAGCAGCCCAGGGGTGGTGGTGCCAGGCCTCTCCTCACAGGCCTGGGGTGCCCAGACAGGCTAGAGAACCGGCTGGGCCAGACTGCCCCACCCAGCCCCTCCTCCCCCTGCAGGGACAGGCTGGGGGCTCTGGAGTCAGTCCTCTGAAGGCTCGGCCTCCTGACGTCATTTTGCCAACCCGACTCTACTGGGCAGCCCCCAGGGTCGCCTGCATTGAGATCCATACCGTACCGGGAGTGACCCTCCCCCCTGCGCCCGAGCCCTCCAGATAAACATGGTATTGGGCCCCAGCTCTTTCCAATTGGCTGTCGGCTGGCTTCTATCCCTCTGGGCTTTCATTTCCCGATCTGAAAATGAGGACAATAGCACCTGGGTTGTCCAAACCCACGTCCAACAATACGACTTTACTGTTAGTATTGTTTTCCTGGCTTTCCCTATGCTCTGCATTCCCTCCCAAGAATCCAGTGCCCTGTCTGCCTGGGGCCTGCCAGCCACCCTGGGCACCCCTCTGGGGCAGCGGGAGGGACCTCAGACGCAGAGGCAGCACCCATCAACCAGCTGCAGCTCTCGGCACCCCCCCCCCCAGCTCCTCCGCCTACTAATTGCAGGGTTGCAAGATGCCAGCTGCCTCCCAGGCCCCAGTCGGGCTCCTCCCAATGGAGCGGGGCTCCCCGGAAAGCCTCCCAGTTCTCCTCCAACCCCACAGACCCAGCTGCATTGGGGGTTGTCTCCATGGTGCTCGGGCCACCCCCACTTCCGCAGGAGGTAGCCTTCCTCTGTGGCTTTCCCCTTTCCCAGGCTTCCTGAAGTCAGAGAGGAGCATCCTAGCCTCCCCTTCCCCCACTCAAGAACTAGCCGTGGCTCCCCACTGCTAGACAAATACAGCCTCACTCCACATCCTGGCCCTGGGAGTGCTCTCTACATGCCCTTAAGCACGTGCCCCAAGTGGCCTTGGTTTCAGGTCCCTGTGACTCTACGATAAAGTCCAGACGGGCCCCTTGCTGTGGCCTCTCTCCCATCCCCACTGGCTTTGCCAGCACTGTCTCCACACCTACATCAGTGGCCTGGGACTGCGTGACAGTTCCTGGCAAGCTGCTCACACCTGGCCCTCCAGCTCTGAGGGCCCAGGTCCTGCCTCTGGGAATCTGGATCTCCCCAGGAGGGAGGGAGAGGGTCCTTCAGAGCTGACGCCCTCCGCCAGCTGTCATTTCATGTTTATATAGGTGCACAAGGGCATGATGGGGAAAACGAGGCCCAGAGAGGGAAGGGACCAGCCAGGAGAGGACAGGGCTGGGACTGGAACCCAGGCAAATCTAAAGGCCGTTGTTCTCAGCTACAGCCGTCAGCACAGGGCTGAGCCGGTTCAGAGCAGGCAGGAGGGAGGCAGGAGGGAGCTAATGATGGAAAGAACCTCTGACATCAAGCCCTCTTCCCTTCAGAGACTCTGCAAGGCCCTCTCTCATCCAGCAGCCCACTTCATCCTCTAAGGTAGGCAGCTCAGAGTTGGGGATCTCACTACCTAGATGGGTAAACTGAGGTTTAGAGAGCGAAGTGTGACCTGGGACTCCCTGGGCCCTTTTAATAGGGTTGTGACCCTTCAGTCCTTTAACCTCCTCCATTATTATAATAACTGGAGACAGCACAGCCAAACAGATGTGCATTCACCTTTACCACTAATAGGCAGGAAGCTCTGCCTCCCTGGGCCTCAGTTTCCACAGATGTACCATGGGGTGCCGTAGGGATTAGAAAGCACGTTTGCCAAGCTCCCAGCATGAGGTTCAGCTCCCAGCAGGACTGTTCGCTTTTGTCCCAGGACCCTGCCACGTCTGTGTGGAAGGCCAGTGCACCTGTCCGTACGGGGTGGGGACCTTTGTCGGGGATCTGCCTCTGCCTGCATGTACCACCCACCCAGCCACGCTCCACTCCCCCTGCCCT